AGGGCCAAGCAAGGACATCAGCTTGTTAAGCCCGTCTTGCATGCCCTGGGGCAAAGAGGAAAATTACTCCATCCTCACCGAGGATCAGTTGTAACGACTCAGGTGTAGATTGATTACAAATGCTACCAGGTGCAGCGGGGCTGCCGTAGCTTTGCGCTTAGAGGAAGCGTTAGCTTGGTCACCGACCTTTCGTTCTATACTTAAAACAAGTACGAGTTTAGCGGATCGCAATCCGCTTTGCTCTAATAGTAATTAAAACCTTAACCCAAGGCTAATTAACTCTTCCGTTTAAATTCAAAAACTGACTTTTTTATTATTATCTGCAGCAAAGCCTATCTGCGACAAAGCCGCCTAATTTAAATTGCATAGATTTCCCTAAATATGTATAGTTAAATCTTAATTAATGTATAACTAGTGGCTATCCAGCCCCGTACCGTATTCTTGTTTGGGTGTGGTGACACCATGCCCATCCGGTGTGACCCCCTCCTGTTACCAGGGTATGTGTAACCCCGTTACATACATCCTAGTGAGGCAGGGTGTAACACGAACTATTGTGTACTACCACTTATACATTGGCTACATTTGTAATAAATAAAGGAATATTCAATTGTACGAGATTGACATAATACTTGGTGTGATTGTAATCATTTATAAGTGCCGAAATTTTGGTATCTATATAGATAAAGGATTCCGAAAAGGAGGTCTGAGGATGCCATCCGAGACAGCCATGAACATGGTACGTACACTACCGCTTTAGAGGAAGACTGGATAAGAATGAGATAAGGCATATTTGAAATGAAAAGAGATTATGGCTCCTAAAGCTACATGAATCATACCATCAGAGCACCGAGACTTTATATGTATAAAGCCTTCATATGCAAAAGTAGAATTTACATCCGTGATATATAAAGCATTGGATACACTGAGCTTGGATCCAAGGGAACCTTGAGAAACTTCAACTTGAAGTCTGAATCTGAGGATAACCTTCGGGCAATTTGAACTTGAAGTCTTTGCAAAGCGACTGGCTCACGCCACTCACTTAAACGGTAAAGACACGTCGGTCTCATCACTCGTGTAGATTCCCAAGTGGAAAATCATTTTGTACTGAATTGTCGTCACTCTGTGCTCGTGACATCATTCAATGATGTCACACGTGCATGTGATATTTATTGTACTGAAATTCCTGTTCGTCGAAGGTGATGTATGCCACAGAGATCCGTAACGCTATAATCGAACGTTTTTAGTAAGTTAAGCTTTACTGTGCGTTTGGGGAATGCGGGCTTTGAAAGTAAATGCTTTCTCTGTGCAAGGTGCACGGCATCCCGGTCACCAAGCTCTACACCGACCTCCTCTAGACATAAGACAAAAAACAATTGCTGCCGCATAGCTATCCTGCATCAACTTTGATGCAAATAAGAAAAAGCAAAAACAAGTTGCATAAAAATTTCGCTACATTGCGTTGCCATATGAATAAAATCATACTAGTTTTTAAGTGGTAGCTATCGATATTTTGCGCACAACAAGCATAAATTTAAAAGCATCTTAGCTCTATAAATAAATTCGTCAAAACTCTATTTTACATAACTTGACCAGTCATTCCCCCACGCTGCCGACCTAAAGACAAGGTCGTTTCTACGTCCTCGTTGTTGCATAAAATGCATTCCATCATGCGCAGACGTATACCTTCATCACTATCATCTCGATTAGCCTCACCGCTGAGTCGTGTTATATCCACCAAGTCCGAGCCTGTATTCGACAAGCGCGACGGCTCAAAAGGCGAGATTGACAGCGCGCGCGCTTTCATAGAGTTTAAACGCGAGGCAGACCCATATCGCGATGTAGCAGAACGTGTTCATGACTGGAACGAGATCAATTCGGGCCGTCGCGACCCAAATGAGCGCAAGGTCCAAGCAGCGCGATGCATGGACTGCGGCACGCCGTTTTGCCAAACTAACACTGGCTGCCCAGTGAATAATCTTATTCCGGAGTGGAATGAGCTGGTTTTTCGGGACGAGTGGAAGGAGGCTAGTGACCGACTACACAAGACTAATAACTTTCCTGAGTTCACGGGACGCGTGTGCCCCGCTCCTTGCGAGGCAGCGTGCGTCGCCGGCCTTGTGGACGACCCTGTTACCATTAAGAACACCGAGTATGCCATCGTGGACCGTGCTTTTGAGGAAGGATGGATTGTACCTCGTATTCCGCGTCGTAACGGTCTGCGCGTGGCTGTTGTGGGCTCGGGTCCTGCTGGTCTCGCAGCCGCCGACCAACTTAACCAGAAGGGCTACTTTGTCACAGTTTACGAGCGCGAGGACCGCATCGGAGGTCTTTTAATGTATGGTATTCCAAATATGAAGCTTGACAAAAAGACAGTCAATCGTCGAATCAATTTGCTGCAACAAGAAGGCATTAATTTCGTCACGAATGCCGAAATTGGCGTCACTACGTCCATAGAGCAGCTGCAGGGTGAAAATGATGCCATTGTACTAGCTTTGGGATCTACAGTTCCGCGTGACGTGGACATTCCTGGCCGTCATTTGAAGGGCATTCATTTTGCCATGGAATTTCTTACAAAGAACCAAAAGCGGCTGATGTTAACGGTGGATGGTAAGCTGCAGAGCGGTTGGAATCGCGAGTTTGTTACGGCGGAGGGAAGAGACGTTGTGGTCATTGGCGGCGGTGATACAGGCACCGACTGCATTGCGACGTCCATGCGGCAGAGGTGCAAGTCAGTTGTGAACTTAGAGCACAATCCAGAGCCCCCAGCACAACGTTCTCCGGAAAACCCGTGGCCTGAGTATCCGCGCATCTACGGTGTTGATTATGGCCACGCTGAGGTCCGCTCTGTATTTGGTGAAGATCCGCGCAAGTACTCTCGTATAACAAAGGAATTCAAGGGAAACGATAAGGACGAAGTCACTCATGTAGTGACCATTCTGGGTGAAAAGGATCCCAAGACCAACATTATTACAGAGATTTCTGGCACGGAGGAAAAAATCCCGTGCGATCTTGTACTGTTCGCCATGGGTTTTTTGCACCCCGACCAAAAGATCGCAGAAACATTGGGTCTAGAGGTCGATCAGCGTCGTAACATTCGCGCTGCTTACGGTGACTACCAGACGTCCGTCGAGGGTATATTTGCTGCTGGAGATTGTCGACGTGGTCAGTCTTTGGTCGTGTGGGCAATCAATGAGGGTCGTGGTGCTGCAGACGCAGTAGAAAAGTATTTTTTGCATGAGGGTTTTCAGCCAGAGGTATCTCAAAATCAGCGCTTTGGCTAAGTTTTGGGCGCTGTACATGATGACAAAGTGTGCTACAATCCAAGGTGTTACAAGGTTAGAGGTACTTACCTAATATGGGACAGTTATCGTAATACACATGAAAGTGCTAAAAGTCAAATTCTCTTTCAGTAAAATCCTCTAAATGCAATATCATGTCAGCAGTGAAACGCCCCAGTGCTGTCCTCAAGTTGCATGCAACCCGAGACATCGAGCGTATGGACATTGGTCAGCGCCGACACATCGCGCACGTTTGGACAACTACGTAGGGACAGCTTATGAACGGCTCCTAGAGCTGACACATCTTCAATATTCTGGCAATAGCTCAAATCAAGATCATAAACACGAGCGAGAGGCGACGCATCTACCAACCGAGAGCAACCGGCAAGTTTGACAGTGCGAATATTCTCAGCTAGTGGGTGAACGTCTTCAAGGGCAACACAAAAGCGCAGGTCAACTTCTTGGATTTTGAAAGGGGATGTTTTGTCGCCAATGTGACAGCACCGAGATCGATTCGCCTTCGGTATATGATGAGTTGACTCGGTAAGCACTTCAATATTGCTAAGCTTTTCGCATCGGTATGCCACAATAGAGTCCAATCCGCGCAGAGAAGACCCTAGTGTCTGCAAATTGTTACAAAAACTTACGTCAAGCTCACAGACCCAGCGTATACCATCAAGCGAAGTGAGCTGGGTGCATTGAGCTATAACTAGTCGATGAAGTGGAGGCAGATGACGGAGCTCGGAGGTTGAGAACTTCGTACAACTTGACAGATTAAGCTCACGCAAACTCGAAATTAATGCAAGAGTACTCAAACTCGTAAGCTTGTCGATTTTTCGTAATGAGAGCCTTTGCACACCGTTGCTCACAGCTGAAATATCGGTGACGTCATCGCAAAGAGCGAGATTTATACTCGCGACTTGTCCAATAATATTAACATCTGTAACATTAATGCAACCCGAAAGATCTAAGCTTTTAACAAGACCAAGCGCAGATACGTCGACAATTCCGGTGCATTTAAGAAGTTTGAGAGTGTGTACTTGTCCAAGTGCGCTGACATCCGTCACATTTATGCAGCCAGAAAGATTAAGTAAGTAAACTTTACCCAGAGCGCTGACATCCGTGACATTTTCACATCCGCCCAGATCCAAGTCGTAAACGTTGCCAAGTGCACTCACATCGCTAACTTCTGGACAATTACGCAGACTCAGGCAGCGTACGCGACTCAGCGAGCTCACGTCGATGATTCCTCGGCATGCGTTCAGTTGTACGGACTCACACATTGCCAGTGAAGTGACATTGGTAATATTGTGGCAGTATGATAAGTTTACATGTTGCGAGTCACTTAGAAATGTCACGTCGTCTAGAAAGCTGCAGTAGCTCATATCCACCTCACGAATACCTTTCAGCCAGTGCAGACCGTCAACCTGGCTGCAACCACTCAATCCGAGCTCTTGTAGGCAATTAACACCGTCAAACAAACTGAGACAAACAACACCTGATAGATTTAAGCGCTTCACTTGAGCGTCGCTGCTTTGGATACAGTTCTGCAACGTCTGAGGGCACGTAAAGCGCTTACCTCCTCCATTTGCGTCGGTGAATCGATTAATTGATGGTGAACGGAAATCGGGCTCACGTATCGTTTCATTGCGCTCGACATCAACGATTAAATTACCGGTAGCATCCACGTTGTAGTGGATACTTTCGTAAAGTCTGCCACTCTCTGTGTCATCCCCGACGGGTTGAAATGTCACAGGCTCTTCCAATTAGCTAACACTTGAAGAAGTTTACGAACTGTACAGACCAGCGAGGCCTCGATTTGGATCTGGACGCTATTGTGCACAACGTCATAGAAGAAGCGACTAAGTTCTGCTATCATTCCAGCCTCGTTCAGAGTCAGAAAATGAATTAAGTGTCCTTCCCACACATCGATTGGCAATAAGTGCTGGAGATGACAGATACCTGATTGTGGCTGCATTGCGTATCGATTGAGGATACGAAGAGTGACTGTATCGTGGAATTCTATGCTGCTACTGCTGCGACTACCTTTGGCGAATATTGATGAAAGACCAGCTAAATCGTCTGCTGCATCCAGGTAAACTGCAGTACCATGTGCGATATTATCATGTGGACTTGATGGTTAAGTCTGCTGCCTCTACCACTTCCGCTATATACTTTTCAGCAGGATTGGTAGAGGGTGTAGATCAAAGTGCCGGTCTCATCGAAAGTTAAACAGAACTATTTTAGCAACAGCTACGTATTAAAGATCTTGGCGCTTCGATGAAATGGATCACTCGCAAATTGTCGCCGCGTGTATCATCAGCAAATTGACAGCTCGACACGAACGGCGTAGGCACATGCAAACTTTGCTATTAACATCGGTAATCCAACTTTATTTATTCTGTGTGGTGCTACATCATATTAGAAAAATTAAATTCTTAGTAAACTCCTAATAATTTAATATGACATCTAACGTGTCAACTACGTCAGCCTTTGCAGCTCTTAGTTCTTGCCTTTCTAGTGAATTGCGTTGTTTCTTTGATGCTCTGGAGTGCAATCAAGCCACTCACAGAATATTGCATATGCGTAAAGGACGGCAACAACTTGAGTCGTACCTGATGATGCAATATAGTGGTGCGACAAGCTTTGAGCAATTGATAAGGAAGAACTCGCTGCAATGGGAGCATCATGTGAACAAAGCGGACAAGAGCAATAAATTAAGAGTGCAAAAACGCCAACTTTTATCGAATCTACTTCCTGGTTTGCAACACGTTATCGATATCAGAGTGGGAAGACCTGGAAAACCAGACGACGCAGTGTACCTTGAAGATGAGTATGCGAGAAAGTGGCTGCCACGCGGTAACTGCATAGCGAAGTGGAAAGATAAGGAAATGACGTACTGTTTTCCGCTGATCCGTGGTTTACGAAAGTTCACAGGTCAAGAAGATGATGGCGAGCTTGCACAAGAGGAACAGAAAGACAAGCATGGGATCGATGGAGATTTAGCGATACAAACTAAAAAAAAGAAGCTTTTGGACAACAGCAAACTAAAAGGGCAGTTAGAGAAGGAAAAGCAGTTGAAATTTTTTACCAAGCCACAAAGTGAAAGCAGGTGGATGATTTCGACGACGAAGGAAAATGGAGAAGCAGGTCATTTGGCAGTACTCAAGCGCAGCGACGGCGACTTCATTTACGTGCTTGGGTCAAAGAATACGCACTTGATAGCTCAAGTAGCTGATGACGTCGAAAGGACCCAAATGATTCATCAAAAAGATGGTAGTGCTGATATGTTCTATTCTGCGGCTCCAATTGCGACCGCGATTCTGCGAATGCTTTCAGCATTGGAACCGTCAAAACGTCGATTGCTTCAAGAGTTTCTATGGCAGACACGCGCCACAGCATGTTTTGAAGTTTTGATGCTAAATCATCAACACGTGCAGTCTCTGGACTATTTGGTCGAGAATACGCCTGTATTTTATGGCCTTTCTCTGATGACATTGAACCCGCTGGAAGGTGCCGAGATTTGCGTTAATCCGGTGCTGATCTTTGAGATCATGCGCGCTCTTGGAGTCCGCACCGTAAATTTTGAGATCCTCGAAGTTGATGGGATTGGTGACAAAGCTGCGATAGAACGTACTAAGAATGACTACCAAGTCGAAGGATGTGTTTATTTGTTTTTGGATGACAACGCTGTTGTGATTGGTATGCAGAAGCAGAAAAGTATCTGGTATGTTTGTCTTCGCGCTATTCGAGAGAAAGCTAAGACATTTTGCCGCACGTTAATCTCCAAAAACTTCGGAAAGGACAGAACTGCACCTTTATCTCCAGCCGAAGCACTGGATCTAGTAATGGAATCGTTACATAAGCGCTTTATAGCCATCAAACAGTTTCTTCAGATATCACTTGAAGTCTCTCAAGCCTACGAGACTTTGGGAAAGCAATTTCTTGAGTATCTGTATCAAAAAGAGCTTTTTAATGGAAATTTTGCCGAAATTAATCAGGTAGAAAAAATCAGACAGGTCGCCAGAGATGTCAGCAATTTTTTTCCCATTGTTTGGAAAAAGTTTCTCAATGAAACTGGTTTGAGTGATTACATCGTCAGCAACTAGACCTTTTTAAAATAGTAAATCCATGCGTTTTTTGTATCGACTCAAGGTTGGTATGTATTCACTACCTTCATTAGAATTTGAAGCGCGCAACGCCTGCTCTCCAAGCTTGCGGGCAATAAACATTATATCACAGTAGCCTGAGAGCCGTACAGCACTTTGTCATCAACCATCTCTCCTACATACACAAGCCAATTTCAAAATTGACTTGAACAAAGCTCTCACGTAGACCGAATGATGCTCGCTCGATTAAGCATCAATTCGTTACAGAAAGCGCTACTAAAATGGCGCTATCACCACCGAAACTACCCCTTCCACTTAGGTTACTACTGCTAACAAAACCCGCCAAAGTGGATTCAGTGACAAAGCTCTGTAATCGTTTGCGATTAAGTGGTCCCCTTGAACTACTTTTCGATGGGCTATATGCAAATCCCACAATCGATTGCTATTTTCGCGCGATCGGCTTAACAACTTAGAGCCAATGAAAAAGACGTGTCTTCACCATGCGTGTGATGCAACGTGTGGGAAGCACCAGACAACCAAATGATACCATCCTTCGAACCACTCGCATACTTCACATCTGGCATCGCACACAGACGCAAGTGGCTACTAAAAGCTTAATCAATAGAATATCAATGTCCCACAACGTAGCCCTTTATAACAAATGCGTCTCGCATGGTGCAGCTTCACAATTATGCACATCACCCGCATTTGAATTCTGAGCGCAGCTAAGCACTCGACTGCAGTCACTGAGTAATTAAGCTTTAGGGATGTTCCACGAAAACAGCACCTATCCAGCAGACGCTGCAACTTTGACTAAGGAAATTGTAGCATCAGCTTCGTGGGAACCATTCAAGGACTAACGTCTTCTTAAAAAAATCGCTGGGCCGCAGCGTACACTCATCTAAAGCTGTATGCAAGTCCAAAATCTTCACCGTGCCATTTAAATGAAGAAGATCACCCGATGTCAGAGCTAATCTCGCATTCACTGTCGACAAATGGTCCCGTCCTGTTCCTCCCTGCTCTCGCTATGAGTTACTAACACTTCAGTTTGCCGGAACTTGATCAAGCCATCACTACATTCTAATGTAGCCATTCGTGCCCAAAATGTGACAAACTTGACATTTTACAATAGATGTATCTTCTGTAAACATTGTGGGAATTTATAATGAGAATATTACAGTATGATGCTCCATCTTATATGAAGTCACAAACATTCCGTGTGATACAGAGTGCTGGTTCGTATGTACTAGTGACGAGGCCGACGTGTCTCTATTATTCGAGATGGGTGGCGTAAGCCAGTCCTTTCTACTGGATATTTTCCACGAAAGCTAGAATTCAAGCTTTTCAAAGTCAAGATTCGTACAGCCATGATCTTGTAAAAGTTGAAGCGGCATTCCCTTCCTGGAAGGAGCTGAAGTGGCAGTTTTTGCGAGTGTTCTCGCCGCCAAACCAGGCATTTTGCGATCGCGTTTCCTCACCGCCCGATAGGCCGAGAAAGAGTTGGTGGACTTTGTCTAAGCGTTGCGAGCACTCATTGCCGGGATGGAGAGTCTCCGCACTGGCGTGGCCAGAATGGAAGTCTTCCGTATGCATCAGTCCTCTTTTGAAGAAGCAGCG